AATTAAATGATGTAAAAATGATCTTATAAAATTCGGGGCAAATTTGCCCCGAATTTACATACGGATTAAGGGATAGATATAAAATAAAGTAAATTATATATTATTAGTATCTAAAGTGATTTCTTTTAAAATATTCTTTGAATAATATTAAAAAAATTTTTTTTAGGATATAACAAATTTAACTTGTTAATCACACCGGTGGTGTTTTAACACTACAGTTACTAATATCTCAAAAACTAGTTAAATAATTTCTAATCTTGCCCAAATTCCTAGCCCTAATCATAAAACTTGAACCCTTAAGCATTACGTATTTAAATTTCCAGCGATCCGCTTCGGACACTATATGTGAATTCGAAAAAGTAGCATCTTACATATCATTTAAATTAGCTTTAGATGAAGCGATGTAATTCTTTTGAGTTTGTCTATCCCCGGTTTGGTTTAATATTATAGTTGTCACAAAACTTATCGAAACTCATTTTAATCAGCTCAATGTTTTGCTTATTTACGATACATAAAATTCTTTGATTAATAGTTATTCGTTGTAACAATGAAAGAATACGTGGACATTATTACCTCATTATTTGTGCGTACGAAAACACGCAGTACTAATTCTTCAAATTGTTCTGGAACAAGATAACTTAATTGATCACGTTTAAGTTTGAATTCTATAAATAAGTATAAATTTATATGAAAATAATTTGAATTAAAATGTTCATCAAATTCATATTAAAATATACAAACGTTCATTATTTTCTTTCTTGTCATAGAACGTGATTTTTTCTACAGGATTTTCGTCTCTTTCTCCATAATCTAATCCTGGCTGATCGATAATTAAGTCGTTAATTACCTCATTATTTAATTTATCTTTAAAATATTTTTCTAATCTTTCCTGCAAAAAAAAATAAAAAAGAGTAAATAAATAAATAAAAATAAATAAATAAAATTAATTAAATTTAAAAAAAAAAGTATGTGAAAAGGATTGCAAAATATCATAGAATGACGTATCTGTTTATATTAGTGTTACAATACCTTCGTAACTATATTTTTAAGATTTTTCGGGATTAAACATTCAGACACATATTTGTATAAATTTCTCCGTCTAATTCGCTTTACAATATTTCTTGAATCACTTAATTCCTAAAAGGATCAATCATTGAAATACTCATGAAGTTGATCACATGTTATTTATGTAGAGTATTATAAAATTAGGCTACTGAATACCTCGCAATCAGAATGTTCGATAGTACTTAAAATAGAATCATTCAGTTTGATATATTTTTTAGGATCCTCAATTGCACCTTTGATGTTAAAGTATGGATCTGATTTTACAAGTGCATCCGCTATCATATAATCAATTGCTCTGTCTAAATTAAGATAAGTTATTATTCTGCAACCATAATTACAAAAAAAAATTTGATGTAAACTTTGTTCATGGATAACATACTAACGCGATGGCTATACACTCTCTTGTGCAATGAATAACGCGTGTGGAACATTTCATAAATGTTAAAGCATTCCTTGTGGTTATAGGCGATACTGTCATCTATAACGCAAGAGAACTTCATTAATCGTGAAGAGTCAAACAAAGATTTCATGTTCAAATTGTAACAATCTCGACTAATATAATCAAATTTGTCAACATCCACTGAATTATCTTTATTGTTGACTATATCAAATAGGTATTTGGGCCTATCACTGATTATAAGTAAAATAAAATATATGATATTAATATGCTACAGTTCATTATAAAAACGAATAGTTTCAAAACAGTGAACCCAAAACAGTGAACCCATGACAAGTATTTGTCCTCAGTTACCAGTATAATAGGTATAATTCAGCTAAATGTTTAATTCTAGTAAACAAATGATGCAATGATATGTTTTATCATGCAATTGATGATCACTGGGTTAACCGTTATTAGAGTGTCCTTAAAAATACCATACATTCCAGCTGATATTTCATCTGATTTTCCCATAATAAGTGCCTTGATGAATTTTTCCTCTTCTGCTTCTAGTTCGAAAGAATTCGCTTCCGACTCTCTCAGTTCTTTAATAAGATCCTCTAGCATCATTATTGACCCATTTTCATGTTTCCATTTTTTTGGACCTCTATTATATAAAAAATTCGTAGTTTTTGTGTATGCAAATAGTTATTTGATTTTAAATAGTTAATTGGGTGCGAAGAAATTATTAAAATATGATTATTTCTCTGGTACATTAATTTTGGTATAACGATGTTATCGAATACGTGACTAAATGGTCCATGTCCTATTATAGTTCACAAAATATAATTAAATGTTTTAGGCCACTATTCAATTACATATCAAATAAATATTAACTTACCCAGATCGTGACATAAAGCTGCCAAAGTCACACATTTTAAGTCACTTTCTGCATTTTCTGCATTTTCCGTTTTTCCAGAGCCTTTTTGCTGTAATATTTTTGTAAATGTTTGAGCAAGATGCGCAGTTCCTAAAATAGCCTATGTTACTATTATCCATTAATGTTGCGTAGGATAAAGTTAGTAAAAAAAAATCTATCATTTACGTACCTAAACTATGTTCGAAGCGATTATGACTTGCACCAGGATAAACAAAATAGGTAGAACCTAATTGTTTTATTTCTTTCAACCTTTGAAATTGCGGTGTATCAATAAATTCAATTGCCCACTCATCAAATTCCATATACCCCTATTAAAACATAAGACAATTAAAAAAAATATAAAAAGAATTCTTTCACTGATTCAATATAACAAACGAAATTTACGTGGATAGGATCGTTTATAATTTTCTTTTTAGAACTATCAGATCTCATTTTTAATTATTTTTTCGAAATTCCATCTTAAATTTTAAAATCACACATTAAATAAAATCTTATGTGTGCATGAGTGACGCCAACTATCAATATTTATACCTGATTAAATCTGGGTATTTTGACTTTTTTCACATGAATGTTTATCATTTTCACAGGCATAAATAATTAAAGATTTGATTGGATAAGTTGGGTCATGTGAATAATGAATCGTTACGTATGTATCTGCTATTTGTGTAATACGTAAGTCGAATTCGGTCTCCACACCGCTGCAACGTACATTTAAGGGAATAACGAACGAGAAACATCTTATTTGTAAGCACGGGAAAGCCTCAGTTATAAAGAATCGGTAATGAATTTATCGTTATTATGCAATAAATTCCAAGCATCATATAAGGGTTTTTGCACTGCCATAGTATCCAAAAACAAAAAAAAAGTCTTTGTACTATTATTACAGCCACAGATAAACAAAAATGAGGCATTGCAACCGCGAAGCCTGTCACTATCCAGCTACTCAATAATACTTATTGCTGTTGCGCATCTAACGAAAGAGCCTATCCTTATTATAAGACAAACAATTGTGAAAAGAAAGGCAGCCTTCCCTTACATGAATAAAAACCCCCAAATCCTTCAAGCCTGCTTAAAGATATTTTTTCTTTATTTATGTTACTGTCG